CACACAGATACGCATTTCTACTACCGTAAATATAATCCAATAAAAAATCATAAATCTACTTAATATTTAAAACTGAAAAAATGTGTTGCTATTTTAAGATGCTGTAATTTACAGTATTATCTGAAAGGTGTGAAACTTGATTTCTCCTGGGGTCACTCAAGTTTACTGATGAAGTGTAAAAAATAGATGTATATTTCGTCATCAGAATATTTGACAAGGGTGATTAACCAATCAGGGAAACATTGTTTTGTCGGCACAGCTCTAGGCATACAAAGGGGCAATAAAAATCGTCAGTATACAGTGTGACAGCGACATTTGGTGCAAATTAGGAACAATTAAAATGGATAATGCACAGTATTAGACATAAGTAGTAACAACCAGCAATTGTGTGAATAAATTATGCAAATTAGATTTTTGAGCAGCCAATAAAAATGTTTTGCCTGCAGTTAATATTAGGCTACGATAAAAACCACGCAGCAACATACGTTGACCTCTGATTACAAAAGAGTTGCTTATATTTTTGAAATGTGTACATCAATTATAACATATGTTCACACCTTTTGTTTGAAAGTCCGAATCAAACTGCAAAAAATTAATTACTATTAAGAGCACGTTTTAGCAGGATTTTTATAATAGTGATAATTATCGCCGTTCAATAATTAATAGCCAATTATTCGTTGATGCGTTTGTTTATTTAACTGCATTATTTGATTGTGTGAAACTTTGTTAAATAATAACATGTGTATTTATTAAATCTGTGAAATATTGTTTAACTACATTAAGATGAGACTTTAATGAACATAGCATTGTTTGGAGTAACAGGCATCACTGGCCTGAATTTAAGTGGTGCGACCGGTTACCGTTGATTTTTTATTTGTTTCTTTATTTTTTTGTTTTGATATTGTTACGAATTTTGAACCATACGCCTCTTGTGAAAATTAATTTGGCTGGTCAATACTTTATAATAAATTAATATTTCGCTACGATTCTACCAGATTTATCATTAATCTAAAGATGTGGGGGTAATGACATCACGCGCACCTGTTTTTATACGGCCAATACACAAACATGTCGGCGCCTACTGTTTTGAAGAAATCGGTGATTTAGCGATTTAAATTTTGTTATCATTCGTTTAATATTATTATTTGAAGGCAGAAAATTTGCAGATTTACTATTTATAGTATACTATTTCTGATTTTAAATTTATTTTCTAACATTTCCTTTCCATTTAAAGAACGCCGTACCTAGTTTATTGTCAATGTTGGCAGTAAGCATGGGTGTTCCTTTCCGTGTGTATGACCGTATTGAGGTCGATTTTCAACGCAAGTGTTTGCAAAGAATGAATGAACTATGTAATGTATGATATCCACGCGCAAAAGAAAAAGGGTGAAATAATGGATTGTTACCTGTACATATACAGCTTCATGTTAAGTATACACACCCCTATTTTCTATATTCAATGCCTGTTTCCGATAAAAATATAAAAGAATTTGTTCACGAAAATGGACAACATATTTCTAAAGTTATTGGACGTATTTAAGGTGTACTGGAGACAAGAAGCTATATCTCGAGAGAGAACATTTTAAACTAAAACAGATAAAATAGACAATGATCAACACAAATATTTGTATTGTTATGCAACTGACCAGACCACAAACGAGAACGAGACGACCTTGAAATACGTAAAACATGCAATTAAAGCCTTATTGTTATTATTAGATATGGAAAACATAAGTTGTGGTTAAATAAAATCCCCAGTCTTCAGTGATACAAATAGGAAAAAAATCGAACCTATACCGGGTCCATCACGCGCTAATGGCGGGGGCGGCGGCGGTGGCGGCGGCGGGCGGTGGTGGTGTGCATCGTAAGAAGGATAATTGTACCAATATATATGTTAAACATATTGTTGTACAATGAATCAGTGTCCTATTTGCCAGCAGTCTTTTTCAAGACGTGACGTCATGCTGAGACATCAACGTTATGTACATGGTAGTGATGACACTGTTAAAAGTGATTATTCATCGCAACAAATCACTCATGTGGACACTTCAGAAAAGATGAATTTTCAACACCCATTTTCTATGGTCGTTTCCGGGCCTAGTGGTTGTTGAAAAGCTGAATGGACTAAAACACTGCTTTTATCCAGTCTAGTAAATCCACCACCAGAGCGCATCATATGGTGTTATGGACAATGACAGCCTCTGTACGATGTACCTCAGCTTAAAATACCTTGGATAGAATTTATACGAGGTATTCCCGACTACTTAAATAGTCCAAAGTACATCAATATCCATAAAAGAAACTTGATTGTTTTTGACGATTTAATGACAGAAGCAATAACATTTTTGACTTTAACACTATCAAGAAGAGAAAACTAACGGATGATGATTATAGCTACTTAAGTGGCGATAGACACTCGTGTAACGATAATGATGAAAATGCTACCGTTGTAGATGACGATGATAATGATAATGATAATGATGATGATGATGATAATGATAAAGATAGTCAGAACAAAAAAAGGAAAGTCTTCTATTCCTTGGACCCCCAGACAAACGTAGAAAGGAGGAGCTCAAAGAAAAACGCATGCGTCTAAACATATGGGAAAAACGGTTTAAAGAACTAATTAGACAATCACATGTGGAGCTATTTAAAACTAAAGTGCAGGCGTATATAGATGAAGGCCATACTTTTGAAGAGGCTTACCATCGCGCTGCTAATGACCAATTACCTCAATTAAGAAAAAAGTACGGTCAATTTTTAATAGACCTTTACGAGTTGCAAGAAGATCCTAATCAACAACAAATTCTCCAGTCGGCTAAGAAACTCAGACGTGAACACGATATGAGTTTCAATGAATCTATTCGACAAGCCATTATGTTACGTAAAGAGCTATTCGATACAGTATGGCCCGATCATTACATCAAAGAAAAGGATCCAATGCAGGGTTAAAATGATAACGATAACGATCAAGGCGAGGAAGAAACGTTGTAAGAAGGATTGCCATTGATATGTTTTCAATCACACAATGGTTCTATAGAAGTGTACGATGCTAAACAGCAAAAATGGGTACCGTATATTTCAGATCCAGAGAAATGGTATCAACATTTCAAAGATATAAGGGACGGATACGCTGAACGTGATTTTCAAGGTTGTTACATTGTAGGCAGTGGCACTAAGCATAGAAAAATGGCCGAAATGGAAAAACGTGAAAACACACCCAATGTTCATCTAGTGACACCTGTAGCTCAAGACGTGAAATGGCCATGTCAGAATTAAAGCGTTTACAAAAGGAAAGTAATGCAAAGCGACAAATGGTAGATATCGATAGTCCAATACGTAAAAAACATCGTGCAACACAAGCGCCTTATGACTGGAACAAATTCAAGTTTTAAAATGAATAACTATGATTTGAGATTCTAAATAAATATCTGGTAACCTTGTGTACAGCGGAAAACATTTAAAGAGAATTTGTCATTTCAAATACAAACACGAGTGAATCTGGAAAACATTAGGTCGTATTTTATTTTCGAAAGAGTGGGTTTTTGTTTTAAATCATTAAAAAAACGACCCAGTCAGTATAATGTTCAATCGTTAAAAAAAAGCCTTACTGGATGAATTGCAGTCAGATACAGGATTCGAAATATACGGACTATATTGTGTATATTACATCATGAACAGATTTTCACGTTGAAACATGAAGAACCTTTTAACACATTTTGATGTGCAATGCAGGAAATGAAATGATCTTATTTTAGTTTCGTGTATAATAAATGTAAAGGTACCCAATAAAAGTTTGTAAAGAAAAATATTGCCTTGTTATATATAATGATCCCATGTAAATGTAATTGATTATTACGATCAAAAAATAAGAAGACAAATACCGCTTCAAGTCATACATGTTTATTTCCTATATGGTAGCATATATAATGACAAAGTTATATATCATTTTACAAAACGGGCTTTTATGTTATTACAAATTAATCCAAAAACATATTACAATACAGTCCAGTACAAAGAATGTGTTCTGGTTTCTTCTATATAACGTTCTAAAATGTCGAGTAAATGTTTTTTAGCTTCGCAATATTCTCTTTTCAGTCGATAGTGTCTCAACCATATCCAAACCAAATAGACAAGTGTTAACATATTAAATGTGTCTGGTGGTCGTTCTTGCCTTATTATTAACAAACACATTTGCTCCAGTACTAGACGAACTAAATCCTCCAAAGCCGCAAGGTGTTGACCTAGTTGTTGATACAAACGCGCCAAATCCGCCTATTGGGATTGGTTTCTGTTGAGGAGCGCGTACTACTTTAATATATTCGCAATTGGGCGACCATTTGTAATGTTCTCTCAAAGCGTTGTCTGATCTTACCCAGTCACTTAATTTAATGTGACATCTGAAACACTCGCACACGTCTGATTTCCCGCTATAATACAATCCGGCGCTTGCCAGTTCGTATTTATCGGGTAACATTTGTTTCGGATAGGAGTCAAACGTTTTTAGTCTATATTCGTAATTTTCCATACTCCCGTTAAGGGGTGCGCAGTCAGTAACGTTCATTCTGTGTATACCTAAGCTTCGTAAAGTATTCAATTATATACGCGCTTTTTGATATCTGATTGAACGTTATTTTAAGAAACAACAAGGTCACTTCTAATTGGTCAATTTCTTTTAAAGTATGCGCTTTAATTGATTTTGGAGTCATTTGTTTGCGATTAAAGGAAAATTGGAAAATAAGTCAATAAAATAACCGCACATGTGCCGATATTCACATCGCTTATATGCAAATATATTACTATATTACGTGTGCAGTCTTGCCGCCGCACGTGTGCAGTCGTGCTGCCGCACGTGTGCAGTCGTGGCGTTAAAGAGGCGTATATACTACTTATTATAATGCAAAAATAAACTTACATTTTACTTTCACCATTAAAGAAGCTTGCACAGGCACAAATATGGAAAAACAATCTTAATATCTCAATCGTTAATAAAAAAATACCTGCAACGGATCAGTCTTAAAGTTTGCACGAGCTTGAAATGCGTATCCAGAATATGTTGTTCCAAAATCGATTGCAGCAACAAACATGCGTTCCTTTAACGCTGCCACGCGAACTGGAATTGCTTGGGCCTAAAAATGAAAAATGCATAATTTTAATATATATAAAATGTCACACTGGATGAATCACATTGTTTACTTGTGAAATAAAGATATACATGTATAGACAATGTAAATCACAATAAATTGGATGCAACATTTTTAATGCTGGTAATATAATCAGGGCTGAGTTTCAAAACTGCGTCGTATCCTACAAAATGTAAACAAACGCCGCCATCTTGGGACGAAAAACGTATGTTTTTGATTATAACTCTTTTTGTTGGAAATGACTGAAAACCAGATATATGTATTAACACGCTACACTAGTTTCCGCTTCGTTCGGTATATCTTGCTTGTACAACTATTTTGTAAAACAAAAGTTATAGCGAACTTGCAACTCGAAGCGGAGCAGATATTTTGTAAAAATGTGTGGATACGACGCAGTTCATATTGCTTTATCTATCGTTTTTTCCTTCAAATCAATTGTATACTCGTTTCAGAGTTCACCATAAACTTCAAAATATGATTTTGCATCATTTACTAAAAATTCATTAAAAAGAGATGTTTATTTTCCAAGAAAATAATGATTTTTACGAAATGATACGACGCAGTTGAAAATAAAATATGATACGACGCAGTTGAAAATAAAATATGATACGACGCAGTTGTATTTTCATTGCATCCTGCATATCCTGTTAATAATCGGTGAGAACAGATGAGCTTTATTATTTGAAACTGAACATTAAATCTTTAAAATTATATTATAAATGGTTAGGCTACGATATATTTTTTACAAGTAAGGTATGCGTTCCGTTCAGTCATTTTATGTTCAGCGCCGCGGAACTTTACCGCCGATTTTTTCGTATTGCATTTCTAATGTATTTTCCACCATAAAAAAAATTTAAATTTTCAAAATCGAGTTACAAATGATAAAACTACAAATTATTTTGTAAAGAAGGTGTCCATTTTGCAAAGGTGTTGAAGTCTTCACTATATTGAAAAAGAAAATTTAGGTCAGATTATCGCATCGAATTTTCCACAGACTACAGACATGGCATCAAAATATACTTTCAAACTAAAGGTGATTTTTATTTGAAAATGAATTGCCTGAAAAATTAAACAATTTTTTTCAGAAAATGAATTCAAAGAGGATTCTCTTTCAAAAAAATTCCTCTGCTATTCGCACCAAAATAGCAAAGTAAAAAGTAATCTTAGAGATTAAAGAAATATTTCATTTCAATAAGAAAGTTAAATGTTATTGTCTTTATAATTAATTCAAATATTTATAATCTTAAAACTTCATGCCAGAAGTTAATAAAAAAATTAAAACTGCTTATTTGTACGGCTGACGTTAACAAATTGTTGAAAAAAAAATCAGACAGGTGTTCGACCGAAGCCGAGCTGTTTATGTTTACTGGATAACTGAACTGCTATGAATTCGAAAACCACCAGGTACTTTAGATTCTTTCGTGAGAAAACCTTTCAAGCTAGTTTCAAAATGTCGATGGTTCTCTGCAGGTGCAACATTTTGCCTGAAATAATGCACAAAGGCGCACCTGAGGTCTTCGCCCCCAGTAAAGCTAATGTTTAAAAATCAAAGCACTGAATGTACTGATGGGGAGGCTATGAGAGAATGTTTCAGACTTATAGTGTCTTTTCTTTTTGCTTAAAATATGCTACCAAAATAAAAAGATATGCACATTGCGCTATTTATCCTTACTGTTATGTTCAACCATTCATATATATGGTTAATGTGGTTGACTATTCATTTTGTTAATATTCCAGAACATTTCATTGAGGTCTACATTCGGACTGTTAATCATACAAATTTTGAAAAACCTAAACTGTCAATAATAAATGACATACCAGCAAGTATGACGACTGTTCATTATCAGATAACAATAACATTTTACAACTGACGGTTCCTTATCAAAATCACAGGAACTTGAAATTCTATCAAATAACCAATATTAATTATAATACAATACAATACAATACAATACAAAATTTTATTCAGCATAAAACATAAACATATGTTTAGAGCCAATACAAACAAAAATGTTCAGCGACAGACATGACAAAAGAAATGAAATTTTATCCGAAGAGAGTAGTTCAAATTACATAAACAATTCTCACAAACTGTCTAGATATACAAAAAAACTAAATATATTGTTACATATATATATTAAAAAAGTTCTAGTTATTAAGGAAAAAATAGAATTAGTAATAAAGATATTTAAA